CTCGGCCCTCCGGGCGGCCGCTTTGGCGCCCGAAGCAGCGAGTTGTGCAGGTGCAGAGCCGGACGTCAGGATGGGGCTTCCTGTAACCTCATCCCACATTCCTTTCAAGTCCCGTAACGTGTCCGTCCCGTCAACCGCTTTCCCTCACACATTCGCGTCGCTGACCGGGAACAGTTGGCCCACTGCTGCCCACGGCTTCTCTCCTCCTCTTCAGCGGCCGCGGCGGCTCAGCCCTCGACCCAGTTCCCTCGCGGTGAGAGCGCGTGAACGTGCGCGCGCGCGCGCCTCGGCGTGCATCTGGGCAAAGGCGAGAGACCCGAGGAGTCGGGAGGACTTGCCCTTCGACGGCAGGAGCGCGGGAAAATGCTCATTCTCGCAGGGAGGCTTTGGAATGAAGAGATTTGGGGGGGGGGAACCCAACAACAACAGTAGGACAGAGGGAGAATGTTTTATCTGCTGGCCTGAAATAGCTCCTTCTTTCCTCAGTCACAGGACTGTCTTTCACAAAGGCGGAAGAAAGACGCAAGGTTAGGTAGTGTATCTTAGAACACTGGTTCTTAACCTTGGGTTACTCAGGTATTCTTGGACTACAACTCCCAGAAGCCTTCACCACCAGCTGTGCTGGCTGGGGTTTCTGGGAGTTGCAGTTCAAAAAACACCTGAGTAACAAAGGTTAAGAACCACTGTCTTAGAACAAGGCTTTTCGAAGACAGCATCTACTCTTTACAAGTATAGCAGTTTCATACTGCTTTAAGTTCCATCTATGCAAGTCTAAGATGTGCAGCGTGGTAACGGAATTTGAATTCCTTCCTGTAGTTCAGAGGAGTGCGCCAGAGGTCTTTGACGAAGATCCCAAGAATACATGTTGCGGAACCATTAGCAGTTAAAAGTGATGTCAAGACAGTCGTGAGTGGCTAGAAGAAACACACGTCATCTCTTGGCAACCTTAGAACTGGCAAACTGACACCCAAAAAAAGTGGAACGGGAAGAATGCCATGCAGTTACAGGATATGAAGCTGTCGTGTAGCACTTTACGCCTGGAATGGTGCGCCCTGTCAATTCGAGACCTCACCCCAGTCCTAGGTGTTCGTATCCTATGGGTATCCTCCGAGGAGTGGGACCAGCGCCTGAAAGCGTGGTCGGGGTTGGGGGTGCGCGCGTGCTTTTAGTTTGTTGGTTTCGTTTGGTTTCGTTCAGTTTATGTGCAGCCCCTTCATAAGATCCCAGGGCAGCAAATAATTCACGTAAAAACGTAATTAGAGCCACACATCACAATTTTTTTAAAAAAATCTAAACTCATAGAGGACACACTTATAAAATTATAAATTGCTAAAAAAAACTGATTAGAAATATCTGGTAAAACCATTGTCAGAAATGCACCTCCCTAAAGGTGCTGTTCCGCTAGGGGGAGGTGCCAGACTACAGTTCCCATCGTCTACCACCCTTTACTCCCTAGGCTGGGTGAGACCTATAAGGTGCGTAACTGGGCAACTATGGGCAAGCTTCTAACCCTAAATTTCCAATTCCTCCTTTATTTGGTAACAAATATTTTAGCTGTGTATTTTAAACCTTACACATCAGCCTTACCAGGTAGGACACCCGAAGAACACAAAAATGGCCAACATAACCCTGGAGGCTAAGGCACCTTCTTTAGGCACTCAAACCCTTGTTCCTCCAAGAATCACACTTGGGTAAAATATAAAAGGTTTATTTTAAAAAGAGTAAAAAAGTTATAAAACAAATGAAATACAAAAATATACAAATTGTACTGTTAAATGCTAAGCATCTAAGTATTAAGTAAGCTCCTGTAAGTCTTTTCCATAAAATAATAAAATCATTACTAATGATTTTACTTCTTAATTACCATGCTGTTCTAAGTAACCATTGCTAAGTCTCCTAATCCATCAAGGAAGACTAAAACTGTCACCTCCTCCTCCTTCTTCTCCAACTTACACACACACCTAGCCCCCCTTCTATAACTTAAATCAAAGTCTCTGCTTCTTGATGGTATCCATCAGCATACAGTCCTTTGTTCACAAATTCATGCCCAACTTGTAACTAACTGTCCATCGTCCAGACTTCGGTTCCCAGGCTGGCAAGCAATTAGGATGGAATTCTATGTTTATCATTCTGAGATGGAGCCTTGACTCGTCTCCTCCAAAAGTCACAACACAAACTGGCTCCTAGGCTGATACTCTGAACGGCTGTGGAACTCTAAAAAAAACAACAACAGGTACTACAAAACCCATATCCTCACAATAAAAGGAGTACAAATAAACAGCAAAGGGCAGTTTGGGTGCTTGTTTATTTCCTTAAAGCTTGTGCAAACTGGTATGTTTTTAACTGGCACCGATAAAAATAAGGTGTCAGGGACAGTGTGAGGGTTTGTAGCTGAAATGAAGCGAAGTGGCTATTCACTCCAACCTGACGAACTAACTCTCAAACGGAACAAGTTCTTCTTCTTCTTTCATTGTGAAAGATCAATTTCTGTACATTTCAAGAAGAAATACTTTACTGGTTCTCAGATATTTTTTTAAAAAATGTTTTTTTAAAAAAAGAAACAATTCTTAAAAACACAATAAATAATAAACATGTGCCATCCAGTGAATTCTGACTTCTGAAACCCTTTTCAGAATTGTGCTCCACAGACAAGATACGCAGAGCTATGCGGCCGGTGTGCGTGTGTATTACGTATATATGCATTCACACACAGAGGCAGGTGCTGAAAAAAGAAGGGGTGGTGCAAAATGAACTTTGGCAAGGGAAGTGTTTCTCATCCATTATATCTTTGGAGAAAAAAGAATGATGAATCAAAGCTTGTTTTGAACTTTAGAAAGGTTAGAAAAGGCTATGCTCCAAAGCTGAATTTTACAAAAGAACATCTGCCTGTGTTTTGTCCATTGTTTCAAATTCTTCTTAAATTAAGGCACCCAAAATCAGGAAAACTCATATATTGATACTCCTGGGTAAGATTTGTGCAAGCAAATATTCCAGTGATATTGTTTGAAATTGCTGCATTCATGTGTTGCTTGAATTATTTATAAAGAATGAGGTAGAAAACTTTAATTTAATTTTGATTTTCTATTTGAGCTTTAATAGGAAAAGTGTGGATGAGAACCAGTGTAGCATAGTTATTAGAATGTTGGATTGAAACATTTAATTTTAATTTTTAATTTATTTTATTTATATCCCGCCTATCTGGTCGGACCAAGGTTCTAATCCCGCTAAATCATAACTCTCATGGGGTGACCTATCTTTTATCCTGACCTACCTTATAAGTTAGCTGTGAGGATAAAGTGTAAGAGAGCCACATAAGCCACTTTGAGCTCACTGGAGGAAGAATTGGCTAACAAGTAAATGTAACAAGTAAATAAATACTTCATCAGAGAGGAATGAATGTAAACAATGTAGGGAAAACTTAAGGTAAAGGATGCATTTACTTTTCCTGTCATTATATATCTACAGAATGCAAGTGGTATTAAACATGTCATGGAAAAATAGAGGATAACTATGACATACATTTCAAAGAAGTAGCTGTGTTGTTTTCTCTTCATGTTGGCAGAATTAAGGAAGAAAAAAAGACCAAAAAAAGCAAAATACTGTTGCATTCTAAGAATTAAAACACTGATATTAATTTGTTAGTATTTAAAGTGCAACAATATTTTGCTTTTCCTCTCTCTCTTCATTTTCCTCCCCCACTCCTGATTTATAATTTTTCCGGTATGAAGGATGTAGAGTAGACTTTGGTCTAGATGGGCAGGGTATAGATTTATATTATTTGATTTATTTATTTATTTATTAAATTTANAGACTGAGGCTATAAAATATTAATATGATTTCTAGTTCTCACATTCCTCTTGTTCCCCTGATAAATTATTTTCTTTAGAAAGGCTATCCTGAGATCTGTGATTTTATGTACAAAGAATTGAAATGCTCACCAAGGTTCCTCATATTTTAAAGATCTTTATACCTGATTTGTATCTGGTAAAATTGTTGATGAACTTGTGTGTAAATCTCATGCTGAGCATTTACAAAAGTTTCAACAAAACTAGATCAATTTGTAAAACCAAGGCTCCTCTTTTAAAACCTTGTATTTCATAATTAGTCAATTCTAGTTCAATTTAGTCATAAGTATTGCTTTTTGCTTTCCAGCTATCAGTAATAAAAACGTGCCTTTTAGTTTAAAGATAATTGTACAAAAAGCATTCTCTTTATCTGTACCATAGCAGCATCAAGATTATTTTTGACAGTGGTGTAATAGACTGTAACCTGGATTGCTGACATTGTATTATATGATGTCTACTGTCTTATATGTTGTTTGCAGCTATCAGTTTAAAAATGTTTGCCCAATATTAGAGTTCCTGTGATTGCTTGGTTTCTCTTTTTGTAAAGCATATTTTATTATTGCTTGTGGCTGAGACAGATAGTTGGAACTAAACTCATAAGAACTGTCTCTAATCTGTCTAGCTCTTCCCACAAAGAGCAGATGCAACATATAAAACTGACATGTTGCGATTTCATTTAAAAAAAGTGATTAATGTGTGTGTGTTTAGTCGTTTAGTCGTGATTTATTAGTAGTACTAACATTTATTTATTAGTATTTTTATTTACTATATTTTTATCCTGCCTTTCTGCTAAAGAACAGTGTAAAACTGACATGTTGCGATTTCATTAAAAAAGAGTGATTAATGGATAATGTCATTTATGAATGAGTGCTGATTTACATTTGTTTATTATTATTTTTATTTACTACATTTTATCCTGCCTTTCTGCTAAAGAACAGTGTTCAAGATGACTAAAAAGCACATTGATAGGAATAGCATATTTTCTTAAAGCCTCATATATTATGTGAAAATTAATATTCAATTCAAAATTGTATTTTTGTAGTTTGCCCCAACATAAAAATGAGATAACACACATACATACAGTTTCATATTTTAAGTTTTTAATCCAAATTAAGAAAGTTTACTATAGAAAATCCAAATAAAAGGTAACAAAAGTATCTGAAAACAATTTATGAACAACTTCACAACAGTAACAATTTTAATTATATATTTATCTTTAATTAAACAGTTGGTGTTTCTAGTGACAGCTTGACTTATTGCTTTAAAGAATATTTATTACAGAATTACATGATCAGTTAACATTTTCCTTCTAATTTAAAACATATTTTCAGTAAGCAATCAACATCTGTTAACCACATCTATAGAGGCTATATGAGATCTGAAGATGGCAATGGGAAAGAGGGGATAGGAGAGAATATGTAACTAGACAAAAAGCAAGTTTGTTCCTTTTGCAGCAGTATATACCATCACAGTTGCAAGTTACTCGTATTCAAATTTGGAACACCTCAGTTTTAGCCAACTGAAGTAGCCTTATACAACCTTGCGTAAGTTAAACCTTCATGGTAATCACAGAACAAACTAGGTGGACATGCATATTGGTGGGGCTTGATTTTTAATACATGCATGTTCAGGTAAGAAATAATGCATGACAAAATCTATACTTTAGTTATTACAGTATAGTTTATACCAAATAGTGAAAATAATTCCCCCTTCCTTTTTTTATAACCAGCTTGGCTCAAAATTGTCCCAGCAGACCATGCTACCAGTCTACTAAAACCTGGAGGCTTATAAACCTACCCCTCTGCCATTTGGATCACCCACCAGAGTAGATGTTGCTGGCGTGAGCTTCTTCCGGTTTACAAAGAGGAGACTTGACTCCGTAGATGAAAAGGACGGGGCTGAACTTTGCATATTTTCTCTTGTTCTGCAAAAACCAAGGAAATCCTTCAGGAGCTGTTGTCGGAAGTGCTGATCCATAAAGATATAGATGATAGGATTAATGCAGCTGTTTGTAAAGGCCAGGCAGACACTGATGGTCAACCCCCAACTGAGAGCCATTAGCATGTGGCAGGACAGATCAATGCTCCAGTACACAACGAAGTTGACGAATATCTTGAAGGTGTTGTAGGGCAACCAAGAACAGACAAATGCTGCAATGGTAGCAAATATGATTTTAACGGCATTGTTTCTCCTCCTGCCTAAGCTGATATGGCTCCGAAGCTTGGAGAAGATGGAGCAGTAGCAGAACAAGATGACTCCCAGGGGTAGCAGGAAGGTCAAGAAAAACATAACCAAAATGAAGATGACAGAAGGCTTCTCATCCAGGCACAAAGACTTGTTGTCTTCTGCAAGAATCACCTTTCTGTAGGTCAGAGGTGGTATTCCCAGTAAAAGGGAGATTACCCAGATGCATCCACAGCTCATAGCTATGTTCTTCTTGGTTCCGATGGACCTTGAATCCCAGTGCTTGACCATCACAAGGAAGCGTTCCACACTCATGCCAACCAGGAATAAGATACTGGAGCAACGGTTGACGGAGATGGCATAGCTACTGAGCTTGCACAGCACTTCACCAAAACACCAGTAACTGAGAGCCTCAGACACAGCCCAGAAAGGCAAAGTACATACAAAAACCAGGTCAGCTATGGCCAGATTGAGGACAAAAGTGTCCAAAAGCCTTGTGCTGCCCCTTTTTTGTGCCATCAGCAGGATTACAAAAAGATTCCCCAAGAAACCAATGAGGAAAATAGTGAAGTAGAGGGAAGGGATAAAGATATAGGCAAATGGCAGCTCTTCCAGGAGGCAGGTATCATCATTCATAGAACCTGACCCATAATAGTCCATGCTGTACGTTTCAAAACTGCTGCTCCAGTTTCCGTTCATTGCTGATCCAACTGCCAGCTGAACACTTTCCATCTCTCACTACAAATCTGCTATAGAGTCTACAGCGCTACTGCTGCAAGAGCTTGCCAAAACACCTTGATCAGTACCAAGCTGGGTGTTGTCTAAGGAGTGGTTTTCTTGTTGTTCTTTTTAAAGCCTGTGGTGACTTCCTCCTGTTTTTATGAAGAACCAAGAGGTCTTTGTCAGCAAACAACAACTATGATGCCTGAGCTCAACCTAATTTTGGACATCCTATAAGAATGTACGGTAACTATCAAGATTGTTGGGTGTGGCTGAGGACTACATGCCTTTTTGGTGGAGGTGGTTACAGTAGAGCATTTGATTTTCTCGTTGCAAATATATATTAATGAACATGTGTTTGTGTGTGTGTAAACATAAGTTGCTCACCCCTTCCATAAAAGATCTTTGGTTTCCATTTTTGCCCACAAATAAAACCACGACATCCTGAAGCTCATGGTGGCTAAGAAGGGTCACAATATGTAATGCTGTGGAACTCAGCTATTAGGACCATAAGACATACCTTCCCTATGTCTATACATCTGTTTTTTTCATTTCACTAAAGAGCTGGTTCACAGGGTTGTCCATATGAAATATTTTGAGTGTCTCTGTGTGTCCATCCCTCTTAATGCATGAAATAATGGGTGGAATCACATCATGCCTCTTCCTCCTCTTGATGGGCAGCTGCCCCTATGTTCTTCCCCCCACCATGAATTCTGGGTCCTTGGCCAGATGAATTTTTGAATTGGTTCATAAGAGTGTTACATAAATGATGAATAAAAATGAGAGCAGAGTGTGCAAAGTGTTCTGAAACTAGATTGTAGCAATACCTCTGTATAAACAGAACAAATTTAGATTCACTTCATGAATTGTAACTCACTTCACATCACCAAGTAGTTCCACTGTGGTTAATATAGCCCATAGTTCCAAACAAGGTAGTTATCTTAATCAAGCATGTTTTAACATCAGCTGAATTTGCCAAATTGCCGAGCTAAGACTGATCAGAGATATTCTCATGGACCTCTTTGCCAAAGCTTGGAAACTTTACTTTTTTGGACTCTAATACCCAAGATCTGCCAGCTAGCCATAGCTGGCAATGGGATTCTGGGAGCCAGAGTCCAAAATAAAGTAACATTTTAATATTCTGTTCTTACCATCCTATTAGGTTTCTGTTTTTTGTAGCTGAAGCACAAACTGAACTTGTCTTGCTGAATTGAACTATTCATTTCAAAATTGCTAGTTGAAAAATTTATAAAGCTAAACTTTGTACACGGAAAAAGTAAAAAACTAAAATTACATAGAAGTTTCTCAATGTTCCATAAAAAATTAAATAATGGTTTTTAGAGAAAGTTCAGACATAATGCCATCGTGTAGAATGCTTTCAATGAACCATTGGTCCCTGCTTCCTCTGTGCTTGATAGCAAGGTTAACAAGCATTTTGCTGCATTTTGTCCCAGACCTGACTGAATGCCCTATGGGCCTCTTTTCAAGACCAGAACTGTGACTTCTGTCCATGTTTGTGTGGCATTGCCAGCATGGTGGAAGCACTGGTTGTGTTTCCAGGGACATATGGTTGATGGGGTCTGGCAAGTTTGTATTTTATGCTGGTCTGTTCCCTTTCCACAGCACACACTGGTTATGCTGGCTGTTCTACCAGTAGTGGGTATTTTAATATATTTGCGAAGGCTTTCACGGCTGGGATCTAATGGTT